ATTAAAGAGCAAAGGACTTAATGCAATCCAAATAGATACTTTTTCATTATTGGTAAAGGCATATAATAATCACACAACAGTTGAAAAAAGTTTAAAGATATTTGGTATCAAAGAGCAATACAATTATAACGAAAAAGGTAATTTTCAGCTTCATTTTTTTTAACGTTAATTATTATTTCCATATATGTGTATATTATATAATATACTTTAATTTGAAAAAAAAAAATTTGACCTCTGGACTTGTCTTCGTGGTGAAAACGGTCATCAAAGTTAAAGAAAAACGTATGATTTCCGTAAAAAAATTCTCGATTTTATATCTTATATAAACCTCTTTCATTCGACGTTCTTTTTTTTTTTAATCGGACCATTTCCTTTTATACAGAGAGCGTTCAAACCTTTTAAAATGCGTATAGAAAGTAGAACTTTTTCAACTTAACTTTTGAAAATGTTCCGGAAAGACTGACACTTATATATATACCTTAAATTAAAGCTTATGTAGTATAATTTATTTAAAAAAAAAAAAATTTGACCTCTGGAATTGTCTTCATAGTGAAAACGGACATCAAAGTTAAAGAAAAACGTACGATTTCCGTGAAAAAATTCTCGATTTTATATCTTATATTATTTAATTTATATTTTATATAACTTTTGGAAAAATGTATGGATCAATATTATTATTTTTTTATAATAAATATTTATATACCCCTTTCATCTGGTACGCTTTTTTTGGAAATCGGATCATATCCCTTTAACAATTGGGGTCAAAACTTTAAACATGCGTATTGTTACTAAGATATTTTCAATTTAATTTTTGAAAGTATTCCGGAAATACTGACACTTTTATATATATCTTAAATTAAAGCTTATATAATATACTTTAATTTGAAAAAAAAAATTTGACCTGTGGATTTGTCTTCATGGTAAAAATGACTACCGTATTCAAAAATTTGCTATTTTTGTGTTAAAATTCTGGGTTTTGTATTTTATTTTATTTTAAAATACCTA